TTTGTTTCTGCTGAGTCGACTCATGACAGTCATGAGTCGACCCATCAGGTTGAGTCGACTCATAACTGTCATAAGTCGACTCACAAAGTGTGCTGGAATATGTGTTTTGTTTCTGCTGAGTCGACCCATGATATTATGAGTCGACCCATGGTTTATGAGTCGACTCGTGAATTTTATGAGTCGACCCATTTGTTGGTCTTTTTACTTGGGTTCTTGCTGATATTTTGGGATGTCATAAATAACCCAGTGCATAAAACATTCTGGCCAATGATTTTGAATTGACTATTCAAGTTTACAAAGTTTTTAAGAGATTGACAAACGTTGCATGCATATCCGGACAAACTATATACAACATTGCGTATCAAGGAGATTGACAAACTATATACAAGATTGCATTTCCAAACAAGCTATATATACAAGATTGCATTTCCAAACTTGCATTTTCAAAAAAACTGTATACAACCGGGGAATATATACAAGATTGCATCATTGGCATATATATATATATATATACAAATACTTTACAAATCAATTCCCAAAATATATTTGTACACAAAAAATATTGGATATCACAATTGGCATGTAGCAACCGGGGAATTGGTCTTGAGGATCATGTTGGTTGATTTCCTGAAAGCAAAATATAAGCGGATCAAAAGAACAATAGATTTCGATATAAGCGTTTCAATGAACATTACACGTATAGAAAATATACCTTCAAATAGAAATAGAGCAACAATACGAGCTCTATGTCTTGCACAATCCTTTTGGTCAATTGCAATTGGTTGACCGGATATGAGGCTAAACATGTACGCCATCAAGAACACCCCGCAATCCAAGCTTCTGCAAGTTCAAAAGTTTGCAATATCAATATAACACTCTTGGCCCGCAATATGTAGTCTCTATGTGAGTGTTAGCACAAACGAAAAAAGAACATATGAATAAGTCGAATACACTAACCCCCGTTGTTGAGGTACATCAACACTTTCTACCTCCTGAATCGAAGTAATGTCTAAGTTCCAAGCATCGGGAATGGTAGAAATAAGCTTCACCCTAAACTCATTAGCATCGGACATATAACCACGGAGGGAAGAATAATGATAAAATCTCTTCTCCTTTACAAAGAACACCAACATATGCCAATGAAATGAAGTTAGGAGTGGGAAAATAATCTTATCAAGTTCTTGGAATCGAGTTGTCGTTATTGGCTTAAACATTCGATCCACACTTGACGGATTATTTTCATTGATGCATCTCTAAAAAAATAAAGAAAGTTAAGAGTAAGTATTTAATATAGCTTATGAATATTACTTATAATCTCGGATTGGATTTCTACTTACGGTTACCCATGGACTACATATGTGTATGTCTTTCGCATAGTTTGCACGCGTCTCCATTAACCTATTTAACAAGACAACATAGGAGGCTATAACCTGAAATGTAGATAATAAATTTGTAAATATTCATGTTATATACTAACGTGAACACTAATATTTACATAATTTCAGCTTGCAGCAGAAGATCGTTTATCAGTTATGCGGCCCTCAGATTAGTAACCATTGCATATATGACTGAATTGTGGAGGCATAAGATGTGTTATTGTATCAATATCAAAAGCATGTACAGTGCTCTATATGTGTGTTATTGTATCAAATATCAAAAGCATGTGGAGGCATAAGATGTGTTATTGTATCAAATATCAGTCATACGCTTCTATGTGATTTCTGGTACAGAAAATACTCTATATGTGTGTGCATGTGTGCGTGTTTATGTATATTTGTGTGAAGCATGAAAAGAACGGATACTTACGTCACAGCTAATTGCCTCTCCTTTAAGTAACTCCAATGCATCTTTACGTGTCATCAACGCATCTCTAGATGACCACACTAATGTCTCACTACATATGAAACAAATACATAACATGTATTAATGAAAAAACTTAGTACAGGTTGAAAAGTAAATAAGTAAATCATTCAAAATACTTACGCGGCCATATTCTCCTTCCAAAAGTTATCTAGTAGTTCTCTCTCCTCATCCATTACTTCCTTCCTTCCCGGATAATTTGGTCGTCCTTTTCTACTAACAAGTGGAACAAAAGGAGACCGCATTGATGGCCCAGCATGCCGAGATCTAGAGAGAACTGTTCTTTTGATGGAAGGGGTTTTACGCATGCCTTCAATCAACGTAACATCGCGCGGGCTAAGAATAAAGGCGTCGTCATCCACTTCCATTGAATCCATGCCCACTTGATCCTTCCCACCATCCTCACCATCATCTTTCTCTACATTCAATCTATCAACGTCTTTACCAACCTCATCATCCCCGCCGACATCCTCCTCCATATCTCCACCATTCCCCTCCTCATCTTCCTCATTCCCGCCATCAACTCCCTCCTTATCCTCCTCATGCCCCTCATTAGCCCCCTCCGCACCCTCCTCTTTCCCCTCATTTTTTCGCTCCTCATCACCATCATCACTATCATCCCCATCTTCCTCATCATCCTCATCATCCTCATTTCCTCCATCACTATCCACATCCTCTTCCTCATCACCAAATTTGTCCCTCCTTATCTTCAACAGAAGGTCTAATTCCACCCGTTTTTCAAGTATGAGCTGATCCAACTCAGCTTTGGTGATTACCTACACATAAATAACCCAAGTAAAGTTCAATTCATGGATGAACATCAAATAAAAATCATGGAGAGCAATTAACTAACATGGAATAAAAATAAAAATGGAAATATATATACCTCTCTCTCTCTCTCTTCAATCTTGAAGGGGCAGTGGATGTAGTGGCAGCTTGTCTCTTTTCAAATTTGTTAGCCCTTGACTCAACACCATGCTTCCTAAAATTAGCCGGATCTCTAATTAAATCTTGAACTGTACTCCTCCGTAAAGATCCCGTGCCCTTGTGGAAGCTTAGGATGGGTGGTAGGGATTCTGCTCCTACACGAAGGCGTAATTGTCCCACAAGCTCATAAAACCAAACCTGTGAGAAAAGGAAAATTTTAGCTCAACAATAAACATGACTAAATGAATTAATATATACAATGTAGAATGACATTAAAATGTAGTAAATGTTAACTTACCATCAAAACCGAGGCAAAACCCCCCATATAACCACCTCTAGATCGATTTCCCTCAAATCTCTTAGTGATGGTTTTCTTAGCCTTAATCATCTCAGTACACAACACATTGTATACTAATTCAGCCCAATTATACTCCTTAAGAGTGCCCAATTTCTTAGCATATCTAAATGCAAACAAGGGACAACTCACCATATAACCACCTCTAGATCGATTTCCCTCAAATCTCTTAGTGATGGTTTTCTTAGCCTTAATCATCTCAGTACACAACACATTGTATACTAATTCAGCCCAATTATACTCCTTAAGAGTGCCCAATTTCTTAGCATATCTAAATGCAAACAAGGGACAACTCATACTAGCTTGGGGGCATAATATAAAGCCAATAATGAAAGCCACGAGCATATGTGGCAAAAGAGGATCTCTACGCTCGGCCATCTGCTTGATAAGTTCACCCATTCTATCTCTTCTAGCACACACAATCTTTTTCTTACCTTCATCATTTTCTTCTTTCCTCTTCAAGTCCTACGCTTTATATCTTCTTCAATTACAACCTTCGTACTATATGAAAGCACAAGCTTGTAGATCGTATTGCGATCACTTCTATGAAACTGTGTGTCTACTATAGATCTTCCCATTGGAAGACCCGTAATTCTCCCAACTTCTTCAACACCAAAGGAGGTCAAAATTTTGAAACTACTTTTTTCGACATTAAATACTCCCAACAAACAATCTACTATAACTGGTTGCACTGGAAGATCTGGAACATCTAAGTAGCCATAAAATGGAGTGTCACGAAGGGCAATTCGTTGATCTTCCGATAAATAAGTAGAAATATGATTTTGAAGGTCCCGGAAGTACCCAATGTTCGATGGAATTCGCACTAAAGCCATAAGATAGAATTTTCTGCAACCATAAAACATAAGGCGACTTTAGTTGTCTATCATATTTACAAACAAAATTGTATCAAATGTTTACAGAATCAGATGTTTACAGACAAAATTGTATCATATTTACAAACAAACAGAAAGAGAGTTGGGCTTAGAGATACAAACAATATTGGGTGGGTTTAAAAATAAATGGGAGTAAACAAATGGACCTAAAAGTAAAAATCCCAAAAAAAAAAACCCAGGCGTTGCGGTCGCGTAGAAAATTCTTATGCGGGACGTATATTTCATTCTTTCTAAAACCCCCTAAAACCCTAAAATCTCCTCCTCTCGCTCCTCTCTCAATACTCGCAGTGAGCGAAGCTTAGTGCTCGAAACCTAGATAAAATAATGAATAATCTCAATCAGGTAACCATTTCTCTGGTCCCTTGCTCTCTCTCCTTAATTACTCTTTTTCTTGGCTCAATTTTTTTCTTTATTCAGTAATTTCGTTTTTTTTTTTGTTTTTTTCCTTTCAATTCTTGAATCAGGGGATGCCATTCAATCCTAATTTCGACCCCCAAAATAACAATTTGGGAAATTTGAGTGGAGCCAACCCGAACAATTTCAGTGGCCTAAACCCTAATTTCAACCCCCGAAACAACAACTTGGGCAGTTTGAACGGAGGCCACCCTAACAATTTCAATGGCATGAACCCTAATCTCCAAACCATGGCCCAGAACAACCCGCTGGGCGTTATCCAGATGTTGGCAGCGCAAATCCAGAGCAATCCCCAGATTCAGATGAATCTGCTGAATCAGCTCCAAGCCCAAAATTTCGGTGCTCCATTTCAGCCATTTGTGGGTCAGAACCCTAATCAGATGATGGGGATGCAGAACCTGCAGATCTTTCCCCCGAGCCAAATGCTTCAAGGGAGTCAAATGATGGGTTTTCCAGGGAATCCTCAGTTGGGGATGAATAATGTGGGTCCGGGTTTTGGTAGCGTAGCTTTCGGGCAAAGTCCTGTACATGGTCCTGGTTCGATGAAACTGGAGCAGCCAACGTCTTATAATAATTCAGTGAAAGCTCAGTGCAAGCCACAGGCCAGTGGAAGTCGGCAGTTTCAGGTATCTAGAATGGGTGTATTCCTTTTACTGTGCGGTTACGTGTTCTGTATTGTTGTTTGATTTGGTTGAGTTCTTGCACACCACGTCCTACCTGGTACAGTAATTTTATATTGTGGATATTTATGTTAGGTAATGATCTACTTTGTATTCAGATATGCTTACTGCCGCCCCATGCTTTTTAATTCTTATTTAAATAAGAAAATGAAGATGTGAAAGTATAAGTGATTAGGATAACATGTTAAAGACAATGGTTGTCATCAACAGTGGCATGATATGTTGTTATTTCTGTAAGAAGCGAAGAGACCGTGCGTTATTCCTTTTCCCTGCTTTATCTTTCTTTAAGATTAGACTAGAGTTAGAGGGTGAATTTTGTGAACTAAAACACACAATGTTGAAAATATACAACAGCACATAAAAGTAAAGCACACTCAAGATATTATGAATAAACAATACAATGTGGCACATAAAGTAGGACACATGTCTTATTCTACAAAGCTTATATTCCAAAAAAAATAGAAAAGTTACATGCAAGACAATTATAGAGCACAATAACACATAAGAAACAATAGACACACACATATACATCTATATGTATGTACAATGTATATATGTATACATCAAGGTTTTAAATATCCACCGATAATCTGATATTATCCCCGAGTTATTAGTTTTGGGAGCTTTCCGATAAGATAAGTTGGAATTTAATTCAGTTATCGTTTTTTGGAGTTTATCGGCGATAATGCAGCGATAAAGGTGATTATCAGTCGATATTAGTGGCTCTAAAAATTGGAATTATCGGGCCACACTATTTGGTTGTGATTTTGGGTAATGGGCAGTTTTTGAGTGAACTTGAAACCTGACCCGACCCATTTTTTACAATAAAACTTAAAACCTGATTTTGTAGCCCTAATCCTCCGTTCTCTCCCCCCTCATTTGTGTGGCTGTGCCCGTTGCCCTAATCATCTGATCTTCGTTCCTCTTTGACTTCGTCAACCTTGACGCTCACCTCCGCCGACTTCGACGCTTGCCTCCGCTCAAACTCCACTAACCTCAACGCTATCAAATTCGACCATTTGACGCTGCTCTCTCATTGACGTTAACTTCATCAACTTGACAACTTTGACCGACGCTAAGCTCTCTCCATCGACGTCCTCATCAACTGATCGAATCGATGATGTCGATCGACGCTGAGCTCTTCATCGACGCTGAGCTCTCTCCATCGACACCATCATCAAATGTGACTTCCACAGTTCGACTTGGACTCTCCATCGACACCACGCCCTCAACACAACTTCTGAAGTTGTGGCAATAGGTAATATTCACTATTCAGTTAGTTTTTCTCTGGTTATTTAGTAAAGTTTGAGAGAATGAAAGAGGGGAGTATGGTTAGATTACAATTTGGGGTTTTTCTCTGGTTATTTAGTAAAGTTTGAGAGAATGAAAGAGGGGAGTATGGTTAGATTACAATTTGGGGTATTATATTATATATATACATCATAAGGGGAGTATGGTTAGATTACAATTTGGGGTATTATATTATATATATACATCATACGATATTATCACTCCGATAAATACTACTTATCCCCGATATATCCTCGATTTTCGCTATCCGATAAGAATTTTGGCTATTTGATAAATCCCCGATAACCGATATTTAAAACCTTGGTATACATACGTATATACATATATCCACTATGGATCAAAAAGTCATTAGGGACTCCTGATGTTTTTAAAATGACACCAGTTCACTTGAAAGAAACAAACATATATGTACTGTAGTGTTATGTATATTTGTTTTTTGCTCAATTCAAACTTAAGTTCCTCCTTTAAAATCCAAAATGAACTGCCAAATCACGATACTATAATGTTGTGTTATATTTTAAACAACTACTACGCTGTTTCTGAACAAGTAATGACTTGTTTAACTATATCGCAAATTTTACATGTTCATGCTAAGAATCTTATCCTGATGCATTTTTGCCTCAAACAATGAAGCAATTTCTTTACTTAGTCCATCTTACAGTAATTAAAAACTTCTTCATTTATCTCTTCTCTGTAGTAACGAAACTAGGTTGGTAAAAGATCACAGTTGACATTGTGTTCTGGTCAATTATTCGATGCATCCTATGCATATTATATGGTGGGCAACATTAATTGCATTTCTTTAAAATGGTATCAAGTTGACTGAGCTCTGTGAAGGAGTCCTAATAGTTTGTTGTAATGCCCTTTTTCTAATGTGAAATTAGGTAAAGATACAAGGAACATGAGACGAGCATACTATCAAAACATAGTTTTTTGTAGTATATACATGGATTTTTTTCTCTTGCTTTGAATGTAAGTAGAGGGAAAATAGCTGAAGGTAAATTATACCTGAGAGTTTTGCCTGCTGAGTGTTAATTAAGTAGTAAATCTGTCCAGGTGATCAAAAACAGTTCTATAATTACATTGCCTCTTTTATATGAAAGAGAAAACCACTAAAGCTTGCAAACCTCACTGGTACCTGAATCTGCTTAATCTGGTGTTAAGCTGGTTGGAGTAGACACTAGAAATATGAAGCTATGAGGTCAGAGTTGTCAGACATGCTTGGAGACTAGTTTAAATTTGTTTTTAACTTTTAACGGCTTTCAGCTTAGGTGATGAGTTGGCTATGATTGTTCCTCTACAGTTATATTACCAGTTTAAGATAGGTTGGTATAGTTAATTTTCTAGATGGGAACGATAAATTAACTGCAAGTTAAGTGTTTAACCTTGAACTGCAAAGGCCTGACGTCCTTGTAATTTCTGAAGTAGTTAAGACGGGAATGTTCTCCTTTGTAGGGATGGATCTGTGCATGTGGAGGGTGGGCAACTATGAAATCTATGTTACAGTCATTTAGGAATATAAATGCTCGCCATCTACTCATGCGAAATCATGGTTCTGACTGACAAACTAGACAAAATTCATGAAGGGGATGTAAATGCTTCTCAAATTCGTTTTCTAAATCTTGATTGTACTGTCTCAAACATAAGCATTTTGATAGAACAAATAGGTAATGTTGATGTGATCCTTGTAAGCATTTCTATTGATGAAATTTGATTTCAATAGGTTTTGTTGGCTGCAAGTTAATATAAAAACAGAGTCTGAGGTTATCATCACAGTCTATTGTAAATATTATGTATAACAGTATGAGAAACCATCACCTATCTGAGGTGGTTAAATAGACTACAGAGGGACTCTGCGGTTGACTATCCTGCATCTTGGAGTGGAATTATATGGTTTCAAATAACATTGCAAATGCAGATTGTACATTTCAATAGATTTGCAACCTATATTGTCCAGGTCCGTGCTTGAATTGCATTTAACTTGCTCCTGACTCTATTCCTTTAAAGGGATTGTATAACTGGATCAACGGACATGAACCACGGAAGAGAAGGCTTATCTAAATAATGGTGACTGGACATTTCAAAATTGTTAGGAAGCTTACCATTTATTAAATTTGGCTAGTTTATGGTCTTTTTCTAATACTGTTGTATCATATGGACTCTCTCCTTCCTTTTACAGTTTAGCATAAAGTATACTAAGGAAAGAAAAAAAAGACATGCCTAGATGATTCCATTAAACTTCCTTCCTACTAGTCTATTCACCTGATAGACTTTGGACTTATTTATTCATTGGTTCATCATTTTTTTTTTGATATCTCACTGTCTTGCAGGTTCTTATGTGTAAACTCTATCAATCTGGTTTAGTTGTATTCACTTTTTTAGGAATTATCTATATTCAGTTAGGGGTAATGGATAGAAGATGCACCTCCTCCTTGGTTCTTCCTTTAACTTGGTTGCATGTGCTAAGCTGCTTGTAGTTGTTCTCATATAAGGCTTATTTTCTTTCCTTCTCGTTGATCTAATTTTATCTTATGGTAATAGGTAACAAGTATATGGTTTACGCCTTTTAAGATGGCTAACAATTCTGCTGTATTGTGTCCCACAATTGTATTATGTTTTACTTTTCTTGAATGATAAAGGCTTCATGGATCATCACTTGTATGCCGTAGATTTCTATATCCTCACGAAGGGAACATTTGTTTCTCATAAATTAGTGCTATTCTGCTATCATGAAAGGAATATGTGAAAAAATACACTCTTCATTTTAGCTCATTTGCCTATCATATTGATTTTTTCTTAGGGTAATTACATTGAGGCTAATAGATGTGCAACCTCTCAAAGTTCTGCGAACAGAGGTCCTGTAAGAACTTTTCATGGTTCTGGGAAAGAGCCATTACATAACAGGCATGTCTATCAACTAAGCTTATTTTGATTTTCATGGAAAGGAAATTTCACGCTAGTTTTAGTTTTGCAGATTCCAGAAATCTCAATTGTCTGACATGAGGGGTTCAAAAGGAAACATAAATCAATCTAACAGGAGACGAGGAAGAGGTCTCGTAAATGCAATTCTTATTCGATTGTAATTTATCTTGTGTAGAATGGTGCAGTTACTAAATTCATATAGAAAGTAATAGAAAATAGTATGTGTATTGAGCAAGACTGGCAATGCCATGTAGTTGCACGGAGTAGATCATAATTCCCTTTAAGATTTTAGTCATCACATTTTATCCAATTTCTTGACTGTCACAATTATGATGTGTGCATTGCATAGGGTTGCAGAGCATAACAGCGTAACAGGCCTAGTAATGCCTTTGCTATGCTGTTTTGCTTGGGCACTGTAAGGAACAATAATATGGGAAGTTTAGTAGAACATTGAGAACTCATACAACTTAACTAAGTCATAGCCTCTTGTGTGAATTGACATGCGTACGTAAAAAATGGATATATATGCAGTATACATGTATACAACAAATTGAGTTACCTGCATATATAAATAAATTCAACTACAAATTGAGAAGCACAGTTACAAAGACAATTCATGGACAAGATGACACAGCAACAAACTAATCGCATGAGTGGCCTGTTTGTGCTCACATTCGCTAAGAAACCCACCCAATACGACTATAGGTAACCCCACTGAAAAACTTGGGTGACCCATTAATTGTGTAAACCAAGTGAGATTAAGATTGGCTATACACTGAAACCTAAAGTTGTTACACTGAGAGCAATTTAAGAGCCATTATACTCTAAAAGCTTATTAACCTCACTATAGAAGCTATTATTCAGACCAACTTCTGTTACTACAGTATATTTCTACCTATATGTTAATTGGTAATTTGGTTAATTTATGCTTATTATTCTTGAACCACTATCCACATTGGCTTAATAATAGGTTAGTGACATATATTAAGAAAGATGTATTTGATAGTGTTACTAATGATTTTTATTATGTACTTTTAGAAAATGAAAACTCATAAGAAACAATTGTAAAACTTTTATTTTATACTTTATATAGTGACACCACTTTCTAGAAATCCAGGACCTGCCACTGGTGTGTGCGTTGAAATACTTGGGTAGAAGCCGTAACTAAACACTTCACGTTCACTGCTGATATTAGGAGTTATCATATTATTCATCACATTTGATTCTATAACAATATACAATTTCCCACTTGTTCTAATTTGGAAATTTGATCATGTAACCCCATAAAAAGTAGTCTGGAGAGTGGTGATGTTTATTTCCTAAGTTTAAGAGTTAACATGAACTCCCTAGTCCAGTGAGGTTCATCCTTTTATGGAGAGGAAGTACATTTATAAATTAATGGATATGTACATATGCACATGTGAAACTTGCACAGACCACATTACTATATTAGAATATTTACTGTTATAGGATGACATATGATTTGTACATACTCTAAACATTGGCCTTCCATCTTATAATTTTTGTGTAGAGAATATCCTTCTCATACGTATACGTCATATTAGTATGATAATCTAACATATAATATTTACATACCCTAAATATTAGCCGCCTATCTTACAAGTTTTTATGTGTGGAATATCCTCGGGCCATCATCTTTCAAAGAGTAGCCTGTCTCCCAGTTTTTATATCAAAAAATATTTAAAATTTTTTGATACTTTTACTAAATTTATTACTAGATGCCCTTCACCAAAAAAGAAGTCTTTAATATCTAAGTGAAGGAAAATAAAATCTCAACATGTAATGTCTATGGAAGAAATGTTTTGGAAGTGGCAAAAAATATCTAAGAAATATCTAGTAAGTTTTCCAAATTGAAATTAGATCGCTAAGTTCAGGGGAGACTTGGAAAGTACCTGATAGGAATATGTATAAAAAGTAAGACATATGGGTGTCCGCTACATGCCTAATACGAGCAGCGCATCTTACTGGTACTGTCCAAGTTAGATTGTTAGTAATTAGGGGTACTAAACCGTATCCGTATCCGAAAATATCCGTAACTGTATCCGTTAGGATGCATATATGGTTACTCAAATCTATAACCGATAGGATATGGTTACGGATATGGTTTTGTAATGAAATATCCGTATCCGTATCCGAAATATCCGAATACATATTAGTCATACTCTTACGATAGTTTCGATTCTTAGATTATAGATTTGTGGTTAATTTTGATGATCAAGATGTCTAATCTTAACTTTTCAGTTATAATGAAGATATTAACGAACTCTTTTGTATCACATGAACTATATTTTTCTCAATACTATCTATTTTTCTCATATCTATTTTGTATCCGTATGCATATGCGCTTATATATCCGTATTTACATCCATAACTGTATCCGATTTTAGCGAATATAGTTATAAATTTTCCTTACCGAGATATATCCGTATCCGTATCTAAGATGGGTAAGCGGATATGGATATGGTAAACATCATATCCGAGCCGTATCCGGACCGAATGCACTCCTATTAGTAATCCTTCTAAACTTAATTACACCGTTTGAATTTCACCTAGCTGTGTGTGATTCTTGTGGTGGTATCTTTTTCAAGGTTCGAAGGTGCAAAGTTTGAACATTGAATGACTGCTGAAAGATTGTGATGTACAGAATTGTTTGAGTGGTTCTAAACCCAACTTCATAGTTGGATTTATTTTGTTATCACAAATATCATGTGTTGATGGTGAAGTTGACATGGCAGCTTTCTCGGGATTGTGGACAGTTGGAATTTATGCCAAAGAACTATAGTTACCCTTGACAATGTTGAGAGAATGGTTTTCTAGAGGAAGAGATACATATGGATAATGGCATCGTAATCTGCTACTTCTGTTCGAATTTGTGATGTTACTTTTATAACTTTTAAAGGTCCTTATGACACATTTTGTACCAGTTTTAAAAGTTGGAAGGTTCTGTTCATTTGCATGTTCATTATCTGAGTTCGTATGAAACAATCTAAAGCATCACGAAAGCTGCAACATATCCTGTCGAGGCAATTTTGTATGATCAGCTCTTGCTTCTTCATTTTCACTTATTCATCCAACTTTGTGTTTTCTTGTGTTGTTCAACTTATGCATGCACAAATATTTTGCTTCCTTTCCATTCATATTATGGAATAAGACAATAGTTTCTGGTGAGAGTATTTCCTTATATGTTTGATGTTCTTAATAAATTGTTGCTTTAAGCAGGACAAAATAACAGGAGAGAGCAGAGATCAAAACCTATGGATTTCAGTGAAGCAGCTCCGAAAGTTAGTGTGAGGTAGTGATATGTTAACTAACTTATCTAACAATCTTCTTAGAAAGCTACAGGGGGACTTTTCCTTCTCAAGTTGTACAACTGAAACTGAAACTTACTTCCACATCGTATCCTATTATAATCTTATTTGTGGACATGCAATAAAGGAAAGATTTGTGTGCTTTAGGAATTAATTTTTGATGAAAAAAGTAGCTCATAATTTTATTAATGCAGTCCATATTACAAACATTCAGTTTTCATAGTCTATATTCATTGTGTAGATGATTCCTTAGTTTTGTGTGCTTGCAGGTCCATCCTGTACCTATTTCTTCCTTTATTTGTTTACTATAATATCTTATATTTCTTGTAAGAGGGAGTGACGGTTGGTTAAGATGGCTTCTTAAATCATTTAGATCTTTGTTTTAAATATCCCTGATATGTGCTGATATATATAGGTTGATATATCTTTTTATGGCCAATATCTAGTAGCTATAGCTTTTGGGTTAAAATTGGTTCCTAACCATTATTTAAGGCCCATTAACTCTAAATCGGGCAAAATGTGCGTGAGTTTAGGGAAAAAATTTTATTAAGATTTCCCTTATTAGTTACTTCCAAATAATTTTTCATTGCTATCCCAACAACGACAACATCAACAACAAAAGGATGAAGAACACCAATTTAATATCCTTTACTGCTTTTGGCAAGATTCCGGCGTGTATCCCTGACATAGCCGATATATTAGATGATATGTTAGCTGATATATTCGTTTATATAGCTAGTCACAGAACAATATAGTTCTGCAAAATTTCTTTAATGTTTTTAAGAAAAAAATTTCCATACTTATGAATTATTATTTTTTTAAATTGTAGCATGCTCTTTTCCATAAGTGAGTTTCTACAATTGGTAGGTGATTCTAAACATATATATTATTTACATTTTAGTACGTATAGATTACATTTTAGGACATTATATTATGTATGCACATCATGCAACGTGTCATTCCAGTATTTAATACATATCCCCGATATTTCCCCGATATCGCCAATCTGATATGAATTTTGGCCGTATATTTTAACCCTTGATTTAGATGTAATCATTATGTTCAACATTGAATGTTTCTTAGAAGATGGAGAAAGGGTTGGTTAAGACTTCTTAAGCCATTTAGATATATGCTTCATCTTAACCATTTCGATATTTGCACCAATTTTCCTTTAATTTCGCATGCCTATATAGCTTCATCCTGCTCTTTTTCCTTGGGCTAAATGGCACTTAAATGCCTTATATTTCACACTCTTAGCACGTACATACCCTCAGCTGTATTTCGTAGCATTTATATACCTTGAGTTGGTCAAAATTAGCATATTAATACCCCTATATTTTGCAAACGTGATATTTTTTATTCAAAAGTTCCCATATAATATTTATATGCTTATCTTATAGTTTTTTCTTTATTAAGTTTGTTGTATTCATTGTTAAATCTTTTACAATTCTATTTTGATAGGTTTAATAATAATTTAATAAATATTAATGGTTAGAAAGCTCCAAAATTAACATATGAATGTTATATGGGAACTTTCGGATGAAATTTTTCACGTTTGCAAAATATAAGGTATTAAAGTGCCAATTTTGACCAACTAAGGCCATATAAATGCTACAAAGTACAACTGAGGGTATATGAGTGCTAAAGGAGTGAAACTATAAGATATTTAAGTGCTATTTAGCCTTTTCCTTATATGATTCTTATTATATATTTCCATGAAGGTCACTCCCAGTAAACTATACGAAGCATGAGATCCAACTGTGGCGTGAAGCACGCAAGAAGAATTTTCCAACCAGAGCCAACATGAACAAGGTGATAATTCACCTTAGAATGGAGCATAAGTTCATCTTAATTTGTTGCTTACAATTTTCATTTCCTTTTCTTTCTTCTGTCAGAAGACTACCAAGATTAGTAATAATGAAGATGCAGACGCAAAATTACGTCGCCAGGTGCTTATATATTATTACTATGTCAAAAGTACTACATTTATAGTGGTGTTAATTATTGATATACTCCCTTTCTATCTCCCAAATGTAGATGGACCCCCTCTAGTTCTATTGTTGCAGATAGATCCCTGAATACAATTATACTGGGGTTAATTATTGATATACTCCCTATACTAGACCTCCTAAGATGAAAGAATCAAAATAATTCCACTCAAGGGAGTCTATCTCAAAAACATAGAACAACAAGGGTAATCCAGAATTAACGCTTTATAGTATATACAAAAATGGTGATAATATCTTCTCTGCAGCAATTGAAGGAAGTTCTAGCTAAACAGGCAGAATTAGGTGTGGAAGTTGCTGAAATACCACCTGATTATCTTAGTGAACCCGAAACCCAAGTCTCCAAGAGGAAAAATGAAAGAGAAGGAACATATGGGGGATCGGGTGATAGATTCAATAAAGGGAGAGGCAGGGGAAATGGCCGAGATAATCGGCATTCTAAAAGACAGAAGTTTCAGAATAAAGGAGCATCTGCTACTCCTTTGCCCGTGAAGAGGGAACCAAGCCTTCTCGAGAAACTTTTGAGTTCTGATATAAGGAGGGATAAAAGCCAGTTGCTGCAAGTTTTCAGGTTTATGGTCTTGAATGATTTTTTCAAACAATGGCCTGATAAACCCTTGGAGTTTCCAATCATCAATGTTAAAGACAAGGGATACTCTGAGGAGATTAGTGATCAGAAAGAATGCTGTTTGGTTGAAGAAATGGTTAATGAATCCATTGAAGATGTAACTTTTGACGATAATGAGAATGGCAGTAGAGAGAAAATTCAGGAGTCAGAGGAAGGGGAAATTACAGATTAGCGGCATGATATTCAAATTTTTTTTCTTTTTCTTCTTGAATATTGTCTTTCTTATAATCAATTTCTAATGGAAACAAACAGGAGAAGAGAATCTTTTGTCATGTAAAATATATTTCTTCTCTCGTTATTTGTATTAGAACTTCCAATGTTTTGGAAAGGCTCTGATGAAGGTAATGTGTATAGGCTACCGAAAAAAAGTTTGCTTTAGTTGAGCTTCTGAGTTTCTTTGCTGTGGAAATAACCTCCCTACTCTAAATGTTGCTAGATTGTTGGTATATAATCTGAGATTCAAACCTGAAGATGTTGATTTGAGTATTTTCTGGTGCTTCTGGTGCTGTTGTGTATGCAATATATTGGTCTTTGGGCTTTCTTTGTTCTTCCTACTACAGTTAGAGTTTATACATTAGATTGCCTTATCTTCTCCGTCCAATCTATTTTTTTCATTCTTTCTTGCCCTCTTCTTGTATCGTGTCTATCAGTTGCAATTTTCTCGATTATCAAGCCGTTGGCATGTTATCGTAAGATCACGTTATTCACACAATATGGGAACTAAGAGAGGCAATAAAGGATGCAAAACAATGAAAGGCTAGGGGGAAGGACTAGGCCTGTCTCAACAAGCCAGTCTGGCTCGGCCTGAATTTCCAACTTTGGGCGGAGCAAGCTGGACCTTCACCGGAGGGCCCAGGCTAGGTTCAGGTTTGGTTCCAGGTAGGGTCGGCTTGGTTTTTTCATATGTTTTCATTTTTTGCAAAAAAAAAAAAAAAAAAAAAAAAAAAAAAAAGTCATATGTTTTCATTTTTTGCAAAAAAAAAAAAAAAAAAAAGAAAAAAGAAAAGGAAAGAAAGAAAGAAAGAAAGAAATTACCTTTTTTGTTACAAAATGGCAACTTCAAAAGTAATTAAAAAGGTACAAATTTTGAACAAACAAATTCAATCTTATTATTAATCACTTATATAGTTATACAATTTGCAAATTTCATAGAAATTAAAATGATCAAACATAAATTCTTTATTATTAATAACTAAGAATTATAACATTTTTTTGGAAAAACCATCACATCATAATAGATGAGTACATCCCAACTAGATTGACATCCATCTATATCATTATCATTTACAACTTCTTCCATTCAAACAAACAAAAGCTAAAAATTACAAATAACTTTCTACTCTTTATCTCCTATCACCAACTGATTAAGTCCATCTTCAATACTAGCTATCAGATCGATACCTTTAGTTCTCTTCTCGTACCTCTGCTAACATTGTAAGCACATACCGCCTGTACGATAGACAAATCCAGTGATGTTCTACAGTTATCGATCAACTATCTTGATGTGGTAAAGGTGGACTCCAAAAGTACAGTAGAAACCTTCTCTGTTAGTAAATCAAGAGGCAAATGGAAATCACAAGATATAAAACCATCCCATATACTTTCCACCATTGCAAAATATCAAACCTCTTATTATTCTGAGATTTAAGTAAAGGTTCAGCTAAATATTGTTTAATTTCAAAAACTTTTCTTGATGATGGTCCTGATCCACGAAAACTACCCGTACTGGTTAGCCTCTCTATCATCGATTACCTGTCAAAACCCTTACCTTTGCTCCGTCTAGAACTCGTTGAAGCTGTAGGTTGAGATAATATATCATGACTAGCTACATACTCTTCAAATAATATTTAATAGTGTAATGATGAGTAAGAGCATTAATAAACTGATCGCTATCACTTTCCATTACCATGTTATGATACAAAGAATTCAACAAGCGTTGAAGACCAAGATCTTTCAAGCATGGAACAATAAGAATCCGCAAACCAAAAATAATAGGAATGAGTCTAAAATACTTAAAAAAAAATTTTCCATTTCATAAATCATGTTGAAAAATAAGCATCCATGTGCTAAGTATTAAAAAAGTTTGAAATTTTAAAACTTGCAAATCACCTTGAGTAATACCTTGATAATAACAGCTAGATAATAACATAGTAACATCATAAAAAAAACTTATAGCATCTCTTTTACATACTTATAATTGCTCATTCATCATCACTTATTCCATACATATCACTAGAACTAGATACAGAACTAGAACTACAAGCATAGAAAGTAATAAAACTATTTATAATTTCTTTATACTTTATTGCTACATTTAACATTGCATAGGTGGAATTTCACCTATAGTCAACATTTTTTTGGAATTAACTTAGTTTTTAATTTTTTTCTTCTACACAGTTGTTTTCATGTCTTAATCATTTATTCAGAAGCATTATTAGCGTAAGCTATAACCCTAACTTTTTCTATCATTAGTCTAATTTCATCAATGCACTTTTCACAATTTGGTTCAAAATATGACACATGCATCTAATATGAAAAATGTCACCCTAGCATGGCAATTGTAAAGATGACTTGATAAGATATACAACTACATTATTATTTGTTTGCATTATCTAGTAAATTTTTTTTTAGTGATTTCTAATTTTAGAAATTCTTCAATTATTAAACTTGCAACATTCACGCTAGTGTGTGAATCTTCAAATGAAATTTAAAAAAAAATCTTTTAGATACTTGGCAAGTGTCATCTATCCCGTGTGTTATGATACATAAATAACTAATTTGTGCTCTAAATATTCAAATATCAGAAATTAGAGAAAATTTATAGTTTAAGCTTTTAAAAAAAATTCTTCCTCGTGATAATATTTCAAAAATATCACGTTAAAAATTTGGCAAGAATTTTTTTAAAAAGCAGAATAAAAATGATCTTTAATCATATCATCAAATTCAACATTTTCTACCAATTCATAAGGAAGGATTTTAAGAACAATAAATCTGATGTTGCATTTGCTAGCTCTAATTGTGTCTTAGTTCCATGAACCAAGGCTACCGAAGGAAGATGATGGAGATATTAGAGATTAGCTAATGTCGTGCAAAGCCATTCCTTGCCCTTTGCTGTGTTTTTCTAAATATCTTTTATGTGGTTAGCCCCCCTTTTATGATGAGTTACCAAGACATGGCCGCATAACGCACATTTTGCCTTTTAGGTGAGAAGCATGTTGTCTCCATCCTTAGTAACTCCTATCTTCTCAAAAGAAATCTCACACTTCTGACATCTACCTTTTAGGATCTCTAGCTATTCGATCATTGTCAGATTCGAGTTCGACATCGGTAGGAGGAGGAGTAGCTGTAAGACACAATTCAGAAGATGGATTTTGCCATTGGTAATCGAAGAAGGAAGCCATTAGAATTAGAGAATTAAAGAGTACTTGAGAGTATTAGAAAATATAAGAGTGATTAAGAGAGAGTGTTAGATAAAAGAAGATGAGTTTTGGAGGAGAAAATAAACAAAACCCCCCTTCTATTTATAAAGCCAGAGCATCCTAGTCAAATGACCATTTAGGCTTCCTAACTCTGTCCAAGTTCCAGTCACAGACCCAGGTTTCTCTACCTGGACCTTCAGAATGCATGCTGGCACAGCCCCTGGTGACAGGACCTAGACCCGAGCCCGAACTCCATAGGGCCTAGCCATCCGGGCTAGGTTTTGGGCCAACCGAGTCCGGGCCAAAGCCCATTTTGACAAGCCTAGGAAGGATGAAGTTACAATAACCAAGTTTTTTTTGCCAGTCTAAGGAAAACACTCTTAAGTTTCATCATTTTCTAACTTTATCATTAATTTTTAAAAAAAGAAATAGTGATGGTTTTTGTCACGCTCCGCTTGCCAAAATACCGAAAATCGAAACGTGAACAAGTCCGCGACGTATTAGATTAATAAGAATAAATAAAAATAAATATTTCTCCTTAACCTAATACGCTAAGCGTCTAGAAATAAATACAATGCGAAGTCACAGGTCCTCGATCACAATCAACAATAATATAATGAACAACACAGAATAAAATGATACATATCACAACTGAAATATCATCCAAGACATAATATTCGGGTCAAACATGCCCTTATTACAAAACTGAACAAATGAATACTCAAGAGATACAAAATACATTGTTCAACAGAATAGAAGGGAAAAGACTACAAAAACAACTAGGATCATCAAATAAGACGAGATACTGAACTTCGACCTATTCTTCAACTGTATCTGCAATGCACTCCTGCTGAGAATCCTCTGGCTCCTAGCGATCTTCCGGCTGGACCAATTCTTACTCTAAGTCTGATGCACACCAGAGAAAACATGTGTACGTCAGCGTGCATGGCACACGGCAAGACCCCACAAAACAAAGAAAAGAACGAATGAAAACCCAATGCGAAAAACGATACAATAATAGAAATGACAAAAGGAAGTGTAACTGGAAATCCAATAAAATCAGCATGCGAAAACACTACTAAAACATGATAATCATAAGGCTAACTGCACACTGTAACCGGGTTGAATACTAGCCATCCTAAAAACTCATTGGTCCACATCTCACATAGAGTCAATGCTCATATTATTGGATAATTGACTGTTCACAAATCCCCTACGTGCATCCAATACTGCTACACAAACTCGATCAGAGGACTACACGCAAACCCTTTTCAGCCTGGTTCGAAATCAAGCTAAACTCGGCTGAATATCAAATTCACAGATCAAAGTGACTACACAAACTTCACTTTGACCCAACAAACCAGCCCCAGTGCTACACAAACTCATTGGTGCGAGCCTGGAAGATACATCAACAGCCACATGCGAACACATGAACAATGATTTCCCCGTTCCAACTCTTCTCGTTTTTCTAAGTCAACCATAATCCTCATTGAAACTCAGGTTCACCACCTAAACTCAGTCAACACACTCACATATGTCACTAAGTCTGTTCATGATGCACAAGACCACTAAGTCATGAACTACTAAGGCTCTCAAACACAATAATGAGATAATAATAACACTAGTTTCACGCAACCACATCATGACATGTCGAATACAGTAAAATATTCACAAAACATGAATGTAATCATGAACAACAACTATGTAATTCAAAAATAATTCCTTTTCCAAAATAATTTCTTTTAAAATTATTTCTCATTATAATAATCCAAAATATTCTCTTTTCTAGAATAAATTTCTTAAAATTATTTCTCATCAATTATTATTCTAAAATAATTCATTTTCTCAAAAAATAAATTCTTTTTAAATTTTATAAATTCTCTAAAATGATTCCGTTATGAAAATAAGTTCTTTCACTTCATTATCAATATTAATTAAATAAGAATAATTAATAAAAAAAAATAATTACTTATATTT